ATGAATCGCAGACACTGCAACAGACATTGGCATTCCATTTCCAATGGCTTTATGGCCGTCCAGACACAATTAGACCGTTTCCAGAGGCTCGACACCCATTTGGAGAGGTGTTTCTTTTCTTCACTAACCCTTCGCTTTCAGAGACTCGATTACGTGCACAAAGCCAGCGGAAATAATCTAGTTTTATTGGCCTCTGATTGCAGTTTGCCCTAGGGCACCCTTTGTGTAGGTCTACACGATGAAATGAAGGCGTCAGTGCAAATTCTACAGAAGCTTTAAAGCAATACTGATTAAATTAAAATAATGAACATTTTTCATATTCTTGCTTTCATTTGCAGAAATTAATTTGCCCATAACACCTTGTCTAATCGGACGTCCAAGCATAAACGAAACCACTCTATCGTCAAAGTAGGCCTAGTTGTCTGCGTTGTTATACAGTCTGACCACTTGATGTCAGTAAAACCTCAAAATCGCAACTATGTTTGAGTGTCTCTACACGTATTTTCAATAGCTTACTTGTTCCCGCATTCTTTTTAAGTCTTTATTAGTTACATTTTTGTCTGATGAAATTACAAACAAAAAAAATCTTGTTGATGCTTCCCGTTCCTCCTTTTTGATTCATTATCAAACCATTGTTACATGTAAAGCAATAATTAGCTACAATGTACGTTTTAACACTGAAGCAAAATAATTTAAGTCATGTCTGGTTTATAACGGTCTCGAAATTTAATTAGTGGTGAGTATTAAAGTAGCCTTCTAAAAAGACTAATTTCTTTTTTGCATTAATGCATTATGTATTAATAATATTCATTTAATGCATTTTAATTTTAACAATGCAATTCCATATATATATATATATATATATAGTCGTGGTCAGAATTATTGGCACCCTTGGTAAATATGATCAAAGAAGGCTGTGAAAATAAATCTGCATTGTTAATCATTTTGATCTTTTATTTTAAAAAATTCACATAAATCTAACCTTTCCTTGGAGAATAAGAGTTTAAAATGGGGGGAAATATCATTGTTATTTTACATATTGCATATTACATACAGCATAATGTTTTTCTCAAATACAGGTTGGACACAATTATTGGTACCCCTAGAAATTCTTATGAGTAAAATATATGTGAAGTATATTCCCATTCATATTTACAATTTTGAGCATACCAGGGTGATTATGAACATGAAATTATCCAGCCATGGCTTCCTGTTTCACAGGAATATAAATAGGAGGGAAAACAAAGGCCAAATTCCCTTAATCATCCATCACAATGAGAAAAACCAAAGAATATATTTCTGATGTGCAGCAAAAGATAATTGAGCTTCACAAATGAAAGTGACTTTAGCACCATCATGGAGCTGGGAATCTGAAGGGTCTAGAGAGATTCTGGATGAAGAAATTGTCTCTAAACTCTTGTCAGGTACTCTCTAACCTCATCAGGGAGAAAACTCAGAGCTCTTATTATGCCAAATGGAGGTTTCAAAAAGCATTGAATAAAAGGGTGCCGTTAATTGTGTCCAATGTGTATTAGAGAAAAACATTTATGTCATAATTATATTTCCCCCTATTTTAAATTCTTATTATCCAATGAAAGGTTAGATTTATGTGATTTTTTAAATTAAAGGATTAAAATGATTAACAATGCAGATTTATTTTCACCGCCGCCTTTGATCATATTTATTTACCAAGGGTGCCAATAATTCTGACCACGACTGTATATATACAGGTGCATCTCAATAAATTAGAATGTCGTGGAAAAGTTAATTTATTTCAGTAATTCAACTCAAATTGTGAAACTCGTGTATTAAATAAATTAATTGCACACAGACTGAAGTAGTTTAAGTCTTTGGTTCTTTTAATTGTGATGATTTTGGCTCACATTTAACAAAAACCCACCAACTCACTATCTCAACAAATTAGAATACTCCATAAGACCAATAAAAAAAA